TATTTTCGACAATTAAAGAATCCGATTTCTTTTCAGAAAGGTGTTTCATCTCCCTAAAAGTATGTATATAGGGTTAGTCCGGACCGGTGAAATATCTCGAAAACTAAGCATTTCCGGAAGAAATGCTTCCTACAAAAGTTGTAGGGTTTTAAATGATCTATTGACTAATCTGGTCAATCTGACCTTGGGTGGCGTCACCAAGGTCAATTCAAGGTCAACTTTACTTTTTTAAATAGGAACATGTATTTTTTATTAGGAATTTTATTCTACGCAAACTTTGGTTTGAAAAATTTTTTCATACCCCTATTTTTTTAGATATTTGCGGAAATATCTACAAAATTATTTGTTTCAATAATTTCTTACTCGAATACTATCAACTTTACCGAAAAATAATAAGAAATAAAAATTCCTTATTTTTGTCTCATAGAGCTCTGTGAATTTTTTCAGAATTTTTACTTACTTTTTAGTACTGCATTTTCTTACATTTTTTTAAAGTACTAAAAAGTTAATTAAAAAATTCTCAGAGCTCTATGAGATAAAAATAAACAATTTTTGTTTCTCCCTATTTTTCGGTAAAGTTGATAGAATTCGAACAAGAAATTATTAAAACCAATAATTTTATAGATATTTCCGCAAATATCTTAAAAAGTAGGGGTCGTAAAAATAGGGGTTTAGAAAAATTTTTCGAACAAAGGTTATTTGTTTTTTTCCGTAGAATAAAATTTCGTCATAAAAAATACATGTTTCTATTTAAAAAAGCAAAATTGACCTTGATTTGACCTTGACCATCCAAGGTCAAACTGAACATATCAGTGAATAGATCATTTAAAACCCTACAACTTTTGTAGGAAACCTTTCTTAGGAATTTCTGTAGGAAATGCTTAGTTTTCGAGATATTTCACCGGTCTGGGACTTTTTACTCACCCTGTACATAGATACGTACAAAAAAGATACAAAATAGGTCTCCTATTTTGGTCTAGATTATAACATATTTCAAATTCACCGGAAAATCAGAAGGAAAAATTTCCGTCGATTTTCTTATAAATAAAAAATAGCTTTAATGAGATTCAATTACATTACTTATAAAGACAAAATATATTTTTATATTTACACTATCTCGTAATAATCTTAAAATTATACCTGTCCTGTTATCAGCGTCTCATTGAACAAAGGTAGTGAACTAATAATGGTAAAATTGTTGAATGCTATAGGAAACAGATACTGATTAGCATTTGTTAATCTATTTTGTATGCATGTACTTTTCCAATTCTCCAAATATTTTAGAGTCTTTTTAAATGAGCATATCCCATTAAATCCAGATTGTAAAAGTTCTGAAACAAACATTATATCATTAATAATTCTGAACCAAGCTCTATATATATGATAGAGAGATATATATAGTAGAAATTGGGAGTGCGCAAGGAATGGGAGGCCAACCAACGCATAGATCGCATATCGAATCTTTTCGTGTAATTGAATCGAATCGTTTCGTTGTAATTTAGTTTCGTGGCGTTTCGTTGTAAGCAAGAAAAATATCGAAGCAAGGATTAATTAAAGTGAGAATCGAACACGCGTCTTTCGTTTTCCGGGCGACTGCTCTAAACCTCTGAGCTATCCAGGTTCCCGCTCTCGATACATCTTCCGTCCGTATGCTATTTCATTTGCTTATACAAGTAGATGAAGAAAGGAGGGTTGTGTCGCGAGCTCTAGAGCGATGCATGGTATCTCGCTCAAATAGATTCTGCCCCGTCGGCCGACCGAGAAAGCCGCACTCCACCAAACTCAGAGCTCTCAGTTTTGTTAGATTAGAAGCACGCTGGCAGCGCGGTGGGGGAACTCACACAAGCGAGCGCCCGTGGCCATGACCTCCGAACACAGGCGCTCCGCCTTTGTGAATTCCCACACCGCACTGCCAGCATGCTGCTAATGTAACAAAACTGAAAGCTCTGCCAAGACTCCACTAGAATATAGAAATCCCCAACCGTCACCATGCGATCATGGTCTCGGGCTGGCAAATACATATGGGCATATATAGTTAATTACCCACACAAAACATCTCAGCAATGTTTCCAGAATATTACAAATATCATTTTTAAAATATTACATTTGAGATATTCTTGAATATTGTACAAATATTTGAAATAGAATATTTCGTATGAGATATTTTAAGAATATTCCATTTGAAACATTATATTTGCGACGTTTCTGAAATATTCTAGAGATCTGTCGTTAAAAATATCTCAGAATATCTGAAATAAAATATTCTAGAAATATTTCATTTGAAACATTATCATTTGCGAAGTTTTTGAAATATTCTGGAAATCTGTCGCGAGAAATATATCAGAATATCTCAAATTGAATATTCTAGAAATATTTTACTTGAAACATCTATAAACATCATTATCTATTGTACAAATTTCCATTGTATGTACATTCAAATATTTCTTGACTTGAAGAAGTCAATTAGTTGTTAACACTCATATTTAGGTGTTTATACCCAATTTTTGGGTGTCTATGCCCACAATTGAGTGTTTTTTGTAAGGGTATACTAATAATAATAATGAACATAAGTAATTAAAATGAATAATAATTATTTATTGTTATAATGTGTGTCTGCGTCTGCGTGTGCGTGCGTGCGTGCGTGCGTGTGTGTGTGTGTGTGTGTGTGTGTGTCTAGTTCATTATACAGGGTGTCCCATTTTAATCGATCACCTTAAATATCTCTTGAACAGTGCATTTTACGGAAAAATGTTTCAGATAAAAGTTTTGGGATTTCGAGGGGGACATAAGATGATATCATTAGTTTAACTTCGAGTGGCGTCGTCAAGATTAGGACAAGGTTACTTTGAATTTTTTAAATGGAACCCCCTATTTTTTATTACATATTCTTATAGCGTATCTCAAGAGCTTTCCAAAAGACTATAATAAAATATTTTTTCAGTATCTTTCAAGTTACAAGGCTTCAAAGTTACAATATTGTTGCCACTAACATTGGTACCCAAGATGTTTGACCGACGGCTAAAACTTTTTGAATGTTGTTCAGGGCCATGACCTTGACAACATTTGTCAAGGTCAAGGCGATTGGAGGCTGTTTCTAATATTTTCATTTCTTCAAATTTTAGAGTGAAAACGAAAATAATAATTTAAAATCATGGGGTAACATGTAGAGTCCGATTGACTCTAAAGGATCATATGAAGGTCACAATGCTTCGTTGGGGCCACAAAGAAGCACACGTGTGAAATCCTATTAATAAATTTCTTTAATAATCATAGCTCGTGTCATTCACTTGCTAGCGTCACTTGTCCGCATTGTTGCTAATCCAACCGCAGGGCGGAGATTCATGGCGAATTCAATACTTTCAGTGTTTACACAAGTTTTTCTATTGTCCTGTAATTATGGCTGATTACCCGCCTAACGAAATCGTGGATATGATCAGAATTTTAGGTGAGGTCAGGAATAATTATACGACATTTGAGAGGATTTATGTCAAAACATTTCTGAATAGACGTCATCCTAATAGGACGGTAATTAAAAGACTATATGAAAGGATATAACAGAGCACTCTCAAACGAATACGTCGAAAATCTGGCCCTAATGAAGCCACGTCACTAATTGTTCTCGGTACCGTTTTTTAAAATCCACAGATATCAACGCGACAAATAGAAAATGAACAAGACATACTAATCATGTGCTCAAGACTTACAAGTTTCACCCATACCATATCCATCTAACCCAGCAATTAGAAGAGAGGGATTTCCAACGTGGTTTACGTTTTTGTAATTAGGCTCGAGATCGAATCCGAGAAAATTCTCGATTTTTTCTGAAGTTCTTTTTTCAGATGAAACCACACGCGGTAACAGAGATGGCGTCAATAAACACAACTGCCATTATTATTCAGCCGCTAATCCACACTGGCAAAGAAGCCAAAAGTTTCAGAGGCAGTGGTCTATTAACATCTGGGCAGGCATTCTGGGAGATGTTATTGTTGGTCTATATTTCTTTGAAGAAAACCTCACTGCAGCCAATTACTTAACATTTCTCAGAAATGACCTGTTTAACCTTTTGAGACATGTCGGCAATAATGTGCGCAATCGAATGTGGATTCAATAAGACGGAGCACCGGTTCATAGATCTCGAGCAGTTAAAGAATATTTAAACGAATATTTAAAGGTTCCCTAATAGATGGATTGGTATGGAAAATCGGATTCAAGAATAGCCTGCAAGATCGCTAGACTTAACGCCTCTAGATTTTGATCTTTGGGGTTATCTCAAAGGTCAAGTTTATACTGAGGAACTTACGACT